CCCAAATTCAGTGCCCTGAGCACCCAGAGATTGAGATCCTGCTGCCCAACAGCCTCTGGAGCAGAGGGATTTATCCCTGGAAAAGGCTGGGTGTGAGGGGAACAGGCCAAGGAGGGATTTCCCTTGTGGGAGAGAAAGGGATGGAGACAGGGGAGGGCCCCAAAATGTGCTGCTTTTCCTGGAGAATAAACACAGGGAGCGTGAAAAAAGGGTGGAAAGGGATTTTTGGGATGACAGGACAAGGGGGAGTGGCTTCAAACTGAAAGGGAGCAGAGTTTTTATAACTTCCAGGGACAAAGTTCTTCCTTCAGGATTGGGATACAAGGTGGGTTTGGAAGTTGGGTGAAGCCAAGGTGGTCATTTGGCATCTCAGGGGGTCTTTGATGCCCCAAATTCAGTGCCCTGAGCACCCAGAGATTGAGATCCTGCTGCCCAACAGCCTCTGGAGCAGAGGGATTTATCCCTGGAAAAGAATGAGTGTGAGGGGAACAGGCCAAGGAGGGATTTATTGTGTGGGAGAGAAGGGGATGGAGACAGGGGAGGGCCCCAAAATGTGCTGCTTTTCCTGGAGAACAAACACAGGGAGCCTGAAAAAAGGGTGGAAAGGGATTTTTGGGGTGACAGGACAAGGGGGAGTGGCTTCAAACTGAAAGGGAGCAGAGTTTTTATAACTTCCAGGGACAAAGTTCTTCCTTCAGGATTTGGATACAAGGTGGGTTTGGAAGTGGAGTAAAAACATGGTGGTAATTTGGCATCTCAGGGGGTCTTTGATGCCCCAAATTCAGTGCCCTGAGCAGCCAGAGGTGCCCAACAGGCAGGGAACCCCCTCTGGAGCAGAGGGATTTATCCCTGGAAAAGGCTGAGTGTGAGGAGAACAGGCCAAGGAGGGATTTATTGTGGGAGAAGGGGATGGAGACAGGGAAGGGCCCCAAAATGTGCTGATTTTCCTGGAGAACAAACACAGGGAGCCTGAAAAAAAGGGTGGAAAGGGACTTTTTTGGTGATAGGACAAGGGGAAGTGGCTTCAAACTGAAAGGGAGCAGAGTTTTTATAACTTCCAGGGACAAAGTTCTTCCTTCAGGATTGGGATACAAGGTGGGTTTGGAAGTTGAGTGAAGCCAAGGTGGTACTTTGGCATCTCAGGGTGACTTTGATGCCCCAAATTCAGTGCCCTGAGCACCCAGAGGTGCCCAACAGGCAGGGAACCCCCTCTGGAGCAGAGGGATTTATCCCTGGAAAAGGCTGGGTGTGAGGAGAACAGGCCAAGGAGGGATTTCTCTGGAGTTGTGGGAGAAGGTTGGGGAGAGCATGGAGGGCACAAGGAACATCCCAGGAAGCACAAGGAGCTGGGAAGGTTTGGAGCTGCTGAAGAGGGTGTGGAGCCTGAGGGCAGCAAAGCAAAGAGCTGGGAAAAGGAGACCGTGGAATGAACACGGATTTTCCATGTATTTCCCACATATTACGGGTCCTGGTCTGGACCTGGATGGTTTCCAGATGTTTTCCTGCCTGTGTTGTCCTGGGAGCCAGTCCTGGCCATCCCCTGGCTCCAAGACCTCTTTTCCCTGGGATTGAAAACCCCTTTTTCCTTGGGCAAAAATGATTCCCATTCCCTGGGATTAAACCCCTTTTTCCTTGGGTAATAATGTTTCCCATTCCCTGGGATTAAAAACCCTTTTTCCTTGGGCAAAAAATGATTCCCGTTCCCTGGGATTTAAACCCCATTTTCCTTGATAATAATGTTTCCCATTCCCTGGGATTAGAAACCCTTTTTCCTTGGGCAAAAATGTTTCCCATTCCATGGGATTTAAACCCCATTTTCCTTGGGCAAAAATGTTTCCCATTCCCTGGGATTTAAACCCCATTTTCCTTGGGTAATAATGTTTCCCATTCCCTGGGATTAAAACCCCTTTTTCCTTGGGTAATAATGTTTCCCATTCCCTGGGATTTAAACCCCCTTTTCCTTGGGTAATAATGTTTCCCATTCCCTGGGATTAAAACCCTTTTTCCTTGGGCAAAAATGATTCCCATTCCCTGGGATTTAAACCCCATTTTCCTTGATAATAATGTTTCCCATTCCCTGGGATTAGAAACCCTTTTTCCTTGGGCAATAATGCTTCCTATTCCCTGGGATTAAAACCCTTTTTCCTTGGGCAAAAAATGATTCCCGTTCCCTGGGATTTAAACCCCATTTTCCTTGATAATAATGTTTCCCATTCCCTGGGATTAGAAACCCTTTTTCCTTGGGCAAAAATGTTTCCCATTCCATGGGATTTAAACCCCATTTTCCTTGGGCAAAAATGTTTCCCATTCCCTGGGATTAAAACCCCCTTTTCCTTGGGTAGTAATGTTTCCCATTCCCTGGGATTTAAACCCTTTTTCCTTGGGCAAAAATCATTCCCATTCCCTGGCATTAAACCCCATTTTTCCTTGGGCAAAAATCATTCCCATTCCCTGGGATTAACCCCCTTTTTTCTTGGGCAAAAATGATTCCCATTCCTTAAGATTAAAATCCCATTTTCCTTGGGTATTAATGTTTCCCATTCCCTGGGATTAAAAGCCCTTTTTCCTTGGATAATAAGGTTTCCCATTTCCAAACAAGCAGCCTCTCTGCTGGGAATCTGTTCCCTCCCTGTCCCCTGTCAGGAGGAATGTTGGGAAGGCATTCCCAAGCCGGAGGTGGAGCCAGGCAGCTGGGAAAGTGGCTCCCAGGGATGCCCGGGCCTGCCAAAAACAAGGATCGGGAAAAATCACACATCTGGGAGGGAAGAGGCGACAGGGAAGGGCACTGGGATCGCCAGGGAAAACCAGCGGGATCACCATGGGAAGCTGGGCCGGGCCCGGGGGTGCGAAGCACCAGCAGAGGGAAAAGCTGGATGAGCCCGGTTTGTGTGGAAAGGGAGCTCCAACTGACCACGTCCCGCGGGCTCTCCGGGAATTTTGGGACGGCAGGAGCCGAATTCCATGGAGACACTTGCGAGGGCAGCACGTGGAGCCGCCGGGGAGCTCCACCCCGGGGGGCGGGAATGTTTTTTTGGGGATCTCCGGCTGGCTCAAGGCAGGGTTTTGAGATGCAGATGGAGCTGGGAGGGGTAGGATCCCTGAGGCTGTGAAATTCCAGCCTTTGGGATAACAAAGGGCACGAAGGAGGGGTCAGCGGCCGCGTGGAGGGGCGCCGGGAGACGCGGATCCATGAGGAAGAGCGGGGCGGGAGCACGGGGAGGCTGAAGGTATAAATGCCAGGGGTTCCTTTGGCACAGCTCGGGCTGTTCCCGTGTTTCCAGCACCGGGAACGAGGTGTTTATGGAATCTGAGGCTGCGCCGCGATGGAACCGGGAAGGAAACTTGGGAGATTTGGGGTGGGGTGGGGGGAGTCCTGGAGCAGGTCATGGAGCTGCTGCTGGGGAGGGGCTGCGATCCCAGCAGGGAAAATCTGCGGGGCTGGCATTGGGATGGCCAGGGAGGCTTGGGAATGGTGGGGCTGGGAAGTTTTCCTGACGGGTTTTCAGAGCAGGATCAGCTTTGGGAAATCCCCCCTTCTTTATTCCTGCCCGGGGGCGGGGGGGTTTGTGTCCCTCATCCCGGAGCTGGAGCTGCTGGAAGTTGGGCGTGAGCAGGGACACAACCCCAGCGAGCTGTAAATGGGGCTGCTCCCTACATTTTTAAACAAGTTTAAAAGAAAAAAAAAAACAAACCACAGATTCCACGTATTTTAGAGCTCTGAAATGCTGGATTTAATGGGAATTTGTGGAGCGAAGGGTCTCGGACCACTGTGTGAGCCATCTCCCCCTGGAATTTCCTGCAGGACGGGGCTGGCTGATACAACACCAGCCTTTTCACCTGGGTTTAATTGACCTTCATTCGCTCTTTTTGACTCCCACTCGCAGCTCTTTCTCACCCTCAGCAGTCACAAACATCCCTCAAAACCGGGGGGTTCTGGAGCTTCTCGCCCTCGAGGGAGGCGATTTGGGGGAGGGGGAAAATTCAACCCTTTTTAACTTCCCCCCCCCCCTCTTTCGCAGCGGAAAAACGCGCTCCTCCGAGGGCCATCAGGAAATACGGCGACAGGAGGGACATTCCCTGGAAAGTGGCCTCCCTCCTGCCGGGGCTCCGCTACGCCCTGAGGAAAGCCGGGAGCTGCCCCTGGAATGACTCCGTCAGCGCCAGCACGCGGATCCAGCAGCACTTCCAGGAATACGCGAAGCTGGGGCAGGACCCGGAGCCCGAGGGCGACGACCACCTGAGCCTTCCCCCTGCAGAGGAGGGATCCAACCCCTTCCAGAGATTCCCGGAGAAGTCGCTGTGCCAGCTGCGGCACTACCTCCTCAATCCCAAGAGCTACACCCTGAAGCTGTCGGCGGCCACCGGCTGCTTGAAGGGGGACGGGCAGTCCCTGCTCGGCGCTGCTGCTGCTCCTCCTCCTTCCCCGCCTGCCGGTCCCAGGAGGGAATCCCCCAATTCCCAGGGCGGGGCAGAGCCCCAGGAAGATTCCAGCGATCCCCGGGGGAAGCAGGGAAGGAGGAAATCCACCCGGCTCCTCATGAGCATGAAGAGGGGCTCGGCGGAGGCTCCCGCGGGAGACGATGGCAGGAGCGCCAAGAGGAAATCCAGCGCCTCTCCCTCTTCCAAAAGGGCGGGATCCACAGGGAATTCCAAGGGGTCCTTGCTTAGGTTGGCCAATCTGCAGCTTCCACACGGGAGGAAAAGAGGTAAGGGCTGGATAGACTGACTTCATCCAGGTGGGATAGTCGGGGTTCACTTGGAGTCGTCCCAAGGGCTGACTTCGTCCGGGTGGGATACTTGGAGTGCACTTGGAGTCATCCCAAGGGCTGACTTCGTCCGAGTGGGATACTTGGAGTGCACTTGGAGTCATCCCAAGGGCTGACTTCGTCCAAGTGGGATACTTGGAGTGCACTTGGAGTCATCCCAAGGGCTGACTTCGTCCAAGTGGGATACTTGGAGTCATCCCAAGGGCTGACTTCGTCCAGG